TTTGTAGTGAAATTCCCGGAGCGGAGGACTCCGGGGAGTGGACGTAAGTAATGGTTTGACCAAAGACTATAAAATTCTGGTGTGCTTTTTCCTTATCGCTTTTTATTTTTTGCTTGCACTTGATTTTCATATTATTTGCGCAGTGAAAATTGTGAAAGAGAAAAGAGGGGATTTTATCATTGCATGTTGAGTTCAAGTATTTGCCTTCGTAGTAGTTAAATTTTCTTGGTAAAATTTAAAAACACCAAAATATTAGAACTCTTGCTTAGGTCTTTTATTATTTCTACAAAGTTTTCACAATTCCCCCCCCCCCCCCCCTCTTGTGAATCTAATTATTTCAGGCATTGTGGAACTTAATGTTTGAATAAAATGACAAACTAATTCGCACTGCAATGGTCCAAACCATATGGCGCAGCTGCACTGATTTTGGAAATTTGTAGCATCACTTTGGAATTGGCCTCCGTTGCGGCATTTGACACATGAAAGCATAGAGGCACTTGAGTTGGTGACCATAGCAGCATTGTTAATGAAGTAATAATAAAATTTTGATGTTTCCATAGTGTCTATTATCAGCATTATGATGCTCACAAAAGTTTCATAATTAAAGTTATGGACGTACTTTATTTTTTTGGCTTGGATAAGAATTTTTTTTTACTTAAATAGTTGGGCAATATGATCCTCAATCTATCAGTGCTACCGTTCCAATGAAGCAAGAAAATAGTTAATTAAAATTAGTAATTTGTGAGGTTTTTACATTGCAATATTTGGTTTCAAAATCATGACACTTGGGAGAGTTGCACTGTGATGTTAAAACACTCAACACTACGTCACTCCATTAAATTTGTGCTCATTTCTGATTTATATCATAACTTTAATTTTAAAACTAAAATAAGATGTAAAATATGTTAAGAACAACATATGCAACATGAATCATGAAAATTGAAATAATTAACATGACTCACTAGGACTTCGGCCATACTTGCCAAGATTTTTCAATTCTGGTTGGGTACATTGCTCATATTTTTTCAAATGATTTCTATTAGGATCTTTTTATTTTTCATTTAGGCTAACTTCAGTATTGCTAGGTAAAGATCCAAGATGTATAATACTTATTTAAATTGCAAGCTAACTTAATTGGGTCATCAAATTTTAAATAGAAGTAACTTGATTTTACAATTGAGTCCCTATGTGAATTATTATATCTTCCAATGTTGATTTTCCACTTCAAAATTAATTTTATTAGATTAAATCTAGGAGGATATGAAGGTCTAGGATTAACAAAAAGTTGTTCAGGATTTCTCCAATTTACTCCTTAATTATTTTAATAAGAATTCCGTTGATTGTTGCCACCAACATTATTTAACCAATCAACATTAGGACAGTTTCTCTATCTTGGATTATATGTATTAGAGTATGGATTATTTTATCTTCTAATAATTAATATTTCTAATCCCTTGCACATTATTATCTTTAATTAAATTTTGATCCTCCAATTGCATAAAGATTCAGTTCATAATCCAAAATTCACTCCTTTATGCTAAACTTTTCTAGAATTGTTGATAAGTATAAAAAATGTAATATTTTATATGTTATATTTTCAATGAAAATATATTAGTTTTATTTATTATATAGGAAAAAAGAAAAAAAAAGGCTCAAAATTTGAAGTAACATCCATCACTGCGGTGTCAGACGAATCAACATTGCAGCACCATGAAGGACACCACTGAGGTGCCACAATATGGACATGGCAGTACAGACTTATATATTAGGCAGCATTACAACATATATAATTTTAACTTGGTGATACCAAGTCTCTGTTTGCATAATGCTGCTGCCCCACATTTCAGCACTATAAAGCCCAAAATTGCCACTAAAGCACCATAACACTCAAATGACAGTAACATCATAGTGGTGCAGTTATAACAACTAAAGAACATGATGTGCAAGTGAAGCAATGTGAATATTCAGTAATTAACTATTCCATATTATCCAGCACTACGATACAGTAAAAATATCAACTTTCAGTCATTTTAGTTCACTTTATGGGCATCGTATCATCAATCTTTCAGGTGCTACAGTACTAGTTGCCCAATTTATATTTTTCTATAAATAGTTATTATGCTATATTTATAAGTGAGTTCAATCACTTGTGTAATTTTAGTACTTTTTCATATTACTTCTCTGAATATCTCTTAGATTGATAATTAAGAAAATTTAGAGAAGTACTTGATATAATCATTAGAGTTTGGCTTGTGTTTGTGGAAACAACTCTGTAAGTAAGAGGGAGTGTAGCGAAGTAACATTTAACCAGTTTGGTGATATCCATCTCTTGCATTTTCTTTCTATATTACTATTAATGAAAATGAGTTTGCTTTATTTTTACTTCACGTCTGGCTAAACTTTCTTATTTTGGATTGATATTATAAGGATTCCATTGAGTCCTAATGAATACTATTGTTAAGTAAATGATTAGAATGATGTTTTCAATTTTACCCATTCATAATGTAAAGCACATAATGTCCATGTGTAAAGTTAAAATATAGTGTAATGTATAGCCTTGATGGAGGAATAGAAGCATAGCCAGGAATTTTGAAATGGAATGTTTGCATGCTTAGGTATAAGATGCAAAATTTTCCAAGTTCTTAAAGAGATGATATGTTTATAAGAGGTCAGCATATATTATTGTGACTCGAGCTCACAAGTTGATATTTTTAATGATAATAAACATTATGGCTCACATCTTTATGTCTCCTAGTATTTTTCATTCTATATTTGTTTGTGTGTATACTAACATTTCAGGAACGCCATGCAACAACCAACGAAGAATCAGAGCTCAAGATTGGATAGAATAAGGTTATGCTGTAAAGAGTCTATAATATTCATTGATGTATGTTTGATTTCTTGAGTCAAGTCCTGAAAAGGTGTTTTCTAGCTTAGTGTTCATGCTTATACACACTCAGGGGTGTGAGATCTAGTTAAAACCAAGAGTTTAAGTTTTGAACTAATCATATTGAATAATTTTGATCATCCAGGAAGATCAACTCATTGAATTAATTGTACTAGATGACTTCGATCATCCAAGATGATGTTTTATGATCTTGGAGAAACTGCTGCCAGTGATAATTTAGGCAAGGATTTAAGATTCAATTTTTTTTAATCATCCTAGATGATTAATGCCAATCATGCCTAAATTGAATATTAGGGGACTAATTATGGTTAAATTATTCAATCAGATCATTCTAGATGATCTGTATATCATACTGGATGATGTTTGCTGACATATTTGATTTTCCTAAATTATCTAAGATGAAATACCATAATTTTTCTTATAATCATCTAGGATGATCCATAATATCATCCTGAATGATCTATACAAATATAAACTTATCATCCAGGACTATCTTGATATCATCTAGAACTATTAGGTCAAATTTTCACAACGTACTAGATGATCCTGAGATCGTCCAGGATGATATTTGGTGCCAGAATTAAGTTTTTAGGGTTTTTTTGAAGCCTCCTTTTTAGGCACATCATATGGGATGATCCTGCGATCATCCTGGATGATATTTGCCTCCAAGATTGGTAAGTGATTTTGTAAGGGCATCTCCACCTAGCTGTGTGGGATAAAGAAGAGTCATTAAAGATTTAGTGCAACACTTTGAGGGTGCCTCCGAGGAGTGGACATAGGTCAGGTTGGACTAAACCACTATAAATCTGGTGTTTTCTTTCTGATTATTTCTACATTTTATTTTTAATTTGATTAACTACTTGGGTGAAATCTCTGATTAATCTTCTATTATTAATTTAATTCATTTCTACTGCAAGATACAAAAAAAAAATTCTTATAGTTAAAGAAGTTTTTAAATATCCAATTCACCCCCCCCCCCTTCTGGTTAGCCTCGAGACTAGTTCTTAAGGGCTTAATAACCCTAACGATCTTTTAGATATCATTTTCACCCCTATAAGCTCGATAGAGATCTAAGGATACATATGTTATGAATCACATCAATAATTTAAGAAATTCATTAGGAAAGATATGTTAAATACATTCATTAATCCAAAACACTTTATCACATATTATGTTCAATATCTTTTCTTTATTTTATTTAAGTTAATGAATCTCCAAAAATAATCATTTTTATATGGCAGGTCATTATTATAATTAGAGTAAACAGTATTGGTTAATTATAAGTAAGCATACTTTCTTATGAGATTGATATTCTACCAGATCATTATGATACTTGATTCAACACGTATACTTGCATATATTCAGTGATATTTTTTTAATTTTTATATAAAAAATCTAAGTATCATTTAGGGATTGATAGAGCCTAAGTTATTTCACAATTCCAAAAGTTACTCCACAGCCCTATAAATTTTTTTGTGTTGTTGCCAGGGAAGAATTTTATTTCTTGCAATTTTATACATATTAATGAATTATTTACATGATTATACATTGTTTATAATTTTATTTTATTCAATTTTTACTAATTATATATATGTAGTTGCATGATTAGTAGATATAGAATTAAACCTTTGTTACTATTTTATTCTAAAATTGAGCGAGTCCTTTTAAAAACTAGAAAAACTAAAAAGTTTTTTAAAATGGCTGACCATGTTCAAGACCAAGATCATTCTATATCTCTTTAGGATTTTTCAAACCCTTTAGTAGATGAATTCATCAAAGCAATAACATGCTTTTAATTCAAGCTAAGAATTTTGAATTAAAACACGCCATAACTTAAATGGTATAAAATTCTTAGTTTGGGGGAACTCCTGTTGAAGATCCCAACTAATATTTACCTAGTTTCTTTGAAATTTGTGTAACATTTAAGTATAATGGTATTAGTGATGATGCTATTAGACTTATATTGTTCCCTTTTTCTCCAAGGGATAAAGCAAAAATGCCATTGAATTTTTTACCTCCAGGCTTTGTAATCACATGGAATGAGTTGGCACATAAATTTCTTGATAAGTATTTTACACCTTCAATGATTACCAAATTTAAAAATGACCTTACTTCTTTTAGCAAGTTTGAAGGAGATCCATTTATGATAATTGGGAGAGATTTAAGAAAATGCTTAGGAAATGCCCTCACCATGCTTTACCAGATTGGTTGATAATTCAAAGATTTTATAATGGATTGGTAGGATCACTTAGAGCAATCATAGATGCCACAGCTAGAGGATCATTAATTTCAAAGCCATTTAAAGAAGCATATGAATTAAAAGAGGAAATGGCTACCAATAATTTCCAAAGGCCTCCTGATAAGGTGAATCTTAAGAGAGTGGTAAGGATTTATAGAAATGATACCTTATTTATCTTTATTACACAAGTTACAACCATATCTAAAAAGTTGAGCATAATAGGAATTAATTCTAAATCAACTGGGTAATTGGAAGATAAAAATTTAATTGAAGATAATGACATACAAGAGATTGAAAATATTAATTTGATTAAAAGACAAAATAATCCCTATTCCAATACTTATAATCCAGGCTGGAGAAATCACCCTAATTTTAACAGGTTAAATAATAATAATGGTAATAATTAATGAAATTCTATTCAAAATAATCAAGCAGTAAATTAGAATAATCCTAATCAATCTAATGGTATTCCAAGACCAGCCTATTCTCTTAGACTTAATCAAAGCATTCAATTTTGCAAGTAGAAAATGACCATTGAAGGATATAGTAATGCAGTTCAGAACTAAACTGCATACTCAAGCTGCCTCTATTAAAAATTTAAAAACTTGATTAAGTCAGCTTGTAATTTCTATGTGTAATAGACCTCTATGATCTTTGCCTAGTAATATAGAAGTGAACTCTAAGGAAAAGGAAAAAGATCCTAATGGAATTCATTTTAAAGTTAGTAACATTCCACCCCAGCCAAATTGATAAATCTAGGATAGTCTGGCTGAAGAATATAAACTTAACACTTACGAGAGGTAGCCACTTGTGTTTTTAGTTAACCTATATTATCTTATGTTTTGTATATCACATGTTTTAGGTGCCTTTTATCATTAATATAAAAACATGTGTTAGTATTAATTATTGTTTATGTATTTTTTTACAATTTAGTTAAATTTCTCTCATACTTATAATTATTTTTATTATCTTTAATTAATATCATGAATTCTAATTACTAAATTAACCTTAATAAAAATGATAATTTAAAATTATGTAAAATTAGGATAATAATAAAACCCTAGATTATAGCTCATGTGAACACTATTTATACTTCATAGAATAGAAAAACTTATAATTAACTAATTTAGATAATTTAAGTTATTATTTTAATTTGAATTTATAAGTTATACATTTATGCATTAATTTTTGAAATGAATATAAATAATTAGGATTAAAGATTATATTTGAGTAGATTAAAATTGGAAATCATAAGAATCATAAATTTGAAATTACTAATCGTATTAAGTCCTTACATTAAAATTATTATGATTATAAGAGGGTTTTAAGAAATTCAAAATCATTTACTACGTACTCCATAAGAATAAAAGGAAAAAAAGATAATAAATAGTTCTAAAAACAAATAGAAATGAAAAAAAAAAAAGATGAGTATTTTAAAATTTTGGTATTAATTAAAAGCTTATAATATGGTTACAATCTTATACATAAACTGATAAAGGATAAAATAAGAAAGCTTGTACAAATGATGGTGAACAAATAAAGTTTCAATTTTAACTACTAACATATCTAATATTCACTTTAGAATTCAAAAGTTAATAATTAAATTTATAACCTATGAATTCCAATTAAACAATAAAAAGGATGACTTATCAGTATAATTATTAATATTTTTCCAAACTTGAAATATTACCTTATTAATATTTACTACTTCTAAACTATGATGCATTATCCTATATTTTAGTAATTTTAAATTTTCAATTTTTATATTGGTTAATCATTTAATCAAAATTATAAAATATTTATTAGCTTGAGGACAAGCAAGAGAGTTTAAGCTAGGGAGAATATAATAAGTGTAAATAATGTATTATTTTATGTACTCAATTTTTAGTAAAATCCTATTATTTTTATTGTATTATGTAGGAAAAATATAAATAGGGAACAAAGTTCTAAGTAACAACCAAAACAGCTGTGTCAGACAAATCAATGCTTTAATGCCATCAAAATACCATCGAGGTGCAACAATATAGATATGGCAGCACAAACTTCTCTATTTGGCAATGCCACAACATCAAAATTTTAACTTAGTAGCACAAAAAATCTATTTTCACAATGTCATGGCACCATATTTTAGAGCCGCAGGCCCAAAATTGCCACTTATGCGTCGCAGTACTAAAAAAACAACAATGTCCTGACACTGTAGTTATAACTGCCCCAAGAAACAATCTACCACTTTTTGGGCGCCACAGCTTTTATCTTTCGAGCACCATAGTATTAGTTTCCTAATTTGTATTTTCTATTAATAGTTGTTGCATTATATTTATAAGTTAGTTCTATCACTTATATTACTTTAGTACTTTTTAGAGTACTTTTCTAAATCTCTCTTAGAGTGACAACTAAAGAAATTTAGGGACTACTTGATACAATCATTAAAGTACTTGTTACAACTCAAGCTCCTGAGTTTATATTTTTAATGATAACAAGCATTAATGAATGCATCTTTATGTCTCCTAATATCTGTAGTGCATATTTGTTTTTATGTATTGACTTTTTGGGTACATTTTTCACCATTCAATGAAGATTTAAAACTTAATATGGGTAGAAAGGGTATACTAAAAGAGTCTGTAATATTCTTTTATTTATTTTTTGATTTCTTGAGTCAAGTCTTATAAAGGTGTATGCTACCTTTGTGATTGTACACACACACACTCAAGAGAGTGTGATAGTGAAAAATTTTAAGTATAATTTTTTGAACTAATCATATTGTATAATCAATTTCATACTATACAATTAGTTATTCAAAAATAATTATAATGGCTAATTGGCTTAATTTGAAGCTTTTTGAACTAATCGTACTATATGATCCAGTTCATATAGGACGATCAGTTGAAATAATAATTTTAGCCTCCAATCATAATTTAGGCAATATTTTAAAATATAAATTGTGTATGAATTATATTGTACAATAGGTATCATACTGTATAATATAATTAATTCTTAACTAAAGTAATCATATAATTAAGGAACAAATTTTGATTAATTATTCTGGTAAGATTGTATTGTATAATTGGATAAATCATACTATATAACTCGATCTTTACATGGGATGATATTTTATCATCACCCATTGTACGGGATAATAATCCAATTTGATTATAATAATTATACTGGATGATCGGCTCAAATACTTAAACAATCATACAGCTCTTTACTCTTCATATATTGCTAATAGGCTAATAGGGATATATTAAACTAATTATATTGTACCATCTAGAATCATATTGTATGATCAAAGATGATATAATTAAATTTTTAAGATTTCTTGAGGCACTCTATTTAAGCTTTCACATAAGCCTTGTAAGTGTTTTTGGGGCATTCATTGAGAGTTCTCCTCTGAAGAAAGCTTGAAGAGAAAGCTTAGAACTTGGGAGAGAAAGGATAGAGTTTGTGAGGGTGTGAGAAGATCCTTGTGGGTTTCAAGGAAGAGTGAGAGGGAGCTCCACACAAGTTCTCTAGTGAACTTGTACCTAAGTTCCTCCAAGTGTCAAGGTTATTCCTGAGGGAAGCTTTGGTGTCAAAGGACCCGATTATTGCGACGCACTGGGGAAGGTAAAAGTGATTCGAGGTTATCTACCTTCACCATAAGGGTGAAAAAGGATTTTAGGTTCTTTTACTTCACTAGGAGGGTGAAAATGGATTACAGGTTCTCTAACTTCACCAAGAAGATGAAAAAATATTCTAGACTCACTGCCTTCACTCGGAGGAAAAAAATCATTCTAGGTTCTCTGCCTCACTAGGAGGGTAAAACAATTATGGTCCTTTTCCGCACTGGGTTGGTGGAAGAGATTTAGGCTAAGGGAGAGTCACTAAGGGTTTAGTGCAATACCTACAATTGAGGACTCCGAGAAGTGAACGTAGGTCATGGATTGACTGAACCACTATAAAACTCTTGTGTTTTCTTTCTGGTTTTTTAACTTTTTACAATTTACATTTTTGCATTTTAACTTACTAGAAATCTCATTTTGGTATAAATCTACGATTGATAATATGTTGTGTTGATTAGATTATCATCACCATATGTGTAACTTTTGATAAAGTTATTAGCTTCTGTATCAAGTGATTATATTGCTTCAACATTGGTGTGCAGATAGTTCACTTAGGCTTAACATCCTTAATTAAACTTTTAATATTTGACTTGTGTTTGTTCAAGTAACTCTGTAAGTAAAGAGTGTATAGAGGAGATCCATTCATCCAATCTAGTTATAATCATCTCTTGTATTTTCTTTCTATAATGATATCAATAAAAATGAGTTTGCTTTATTTTTATTCTATGTTTAACTAAATTCTCTTGTGGTGGATTGATGTAATAAGGATCTTATTGAGTACTAATGAATACACTTATTTATTAAATGATTAAAATGATATTTTCAATATTAATCATTCTTAATTTAATGCACGTAGTTTCCATGTATGCAGTTAAAATAAAGTGTGATGTATAGCCTCGACCGAGGAATGCATGAATAACTTGGAATATTTAAATAGTATGTTTACATGCCTAAGTATAAGATATAAAATATGCTAGATTCATAAGGAGATGATATAATTATATAAGGTCAACAGATATCCTTTCCACCCTTACAAGCTCGATAGAGATTTAGGGATGCATATACTCGAATTACATCAACAATTTAAGAGATTCATTTTGAAAGATATATTAATTATATTCATGAATTTAAAACACTTTATCACATATTGTATTCACTATATTTTTCTAATTTTATTCAATTGATTGAATCTCCAAAAATAAATATTTTTATTTGGTAGGATAATTATTATAACTAGAGTAAATAATACTAGTTAATTGCAAATAAACATACTTTGTCATGGAATGATACTCTACTCTATCATTGTATTACTTAATTTGATGCATATACTTGTGTATTTTAAGTGATGTTTTTATCA